GATAAAAACAAAGTTTGCAACAAAATTTCATCAAAAGCAGCACAAATCCTTTTTAAAACTCCAATGTTCTGACTATTCCTAAATTAAAACGTGTGACTCATATGTTATGCTCTTTGGGGCCATTATTGTCCATTTCCATGCTCAATCCAGAGATTTCAGTTATTGTAGCTCGCATACTTGGGAAGCATGGCGATTCCAAGGTAGACAGTGTTAACGGGCTCCAGCATGTCTCGTGCATTTGGGAATGTTTCTGTCTGTTGTGGTTTTTGTTCTGGAGGAAACAAAACTGTTCTATCGGTATAACATTGTAGAGCAAGGCACGCCATGGACAGGCGAAGAAGTGATCAGAGAGAGAGATTTGCCTAGTTACTGGGAGGCCTCACCAAACGCCATGCATGATTCCATGGAGACAGTGCTATTTTAAAAATATATATTTTAGCCATCGTGTGTGTGTGTGTGTGTGTATTATTCTTTCCTTCCACTTTTCGTAGATTTTCAATGTGAAGTTTTCAGTAGTACTCATTGTCTTTTAAAAGCTACTTGGGATTTTGCTGACATTCAGAAGTGATGAGAACAACACAGCATTTGCCTTCATCCTGTGAACAGCCTTGTATGCCATGATTTATCCAGAGAGGTTAATTCTTTTGCATCTCAAGTCTGTAGGAGGGCAGTCTACTGGGTAGAATGGAGTCTTCGCGGATGCGTTTGGTCACTCACCACCTAGCTGTCTCGAGCTGTGTTCCTTGACTTCTGGCCCAATCCCATGCATGCACCTTGCTGTAAAGACAACTGGAAAATGTATTGGTTTTAAGTTGAACATGTTGCCTCCCATCTTTCTCTCCTTCACTGTCTTCCTCTTCACCCTAATTGCATCTTTCTCTCTTTCTCACAAAATAAATACAGATTAAAAAAAAAGTTGAAAAGAATTCCTAGAGGTAGGCCCTGTAATGTTGCAGTTTATCATGCTGGGTAGTTTTGGTTTTCACTCAAGTTGAGAAACCCTGTTTTGCTCTGAGCTCCCTGCCATGTTCCACATTCTCACAGTGTTTAGGAGTTCTCCTATCTACTAGATATTGGAAAGGCTCTTCAGAAATATCAAGGAAATTGCCTGTTCTTAAAAACAATGCATGGAATTCAGAAATATAAGTCCTCTCATCTCCCTAGGATTCTATTTTCTTGCGTATAAAATAAGAGTCTGTGTGAAATGATTGTTGTGCCCCATTCTTGTAGTAAATAGGGACTCCAAGAACATTGATGCAAAGGGGATGTTGCCTACAGTTCCCCCAAACTAGGGTGAACTAATTCAACAGATCTATTAGGAGGAAGATTCTCCTGAGTTCTATTCAATTTTCATATTTGCTACCAGCTTTTTTTTTAAAGATTTATTTATTTTTATTGTAAAGTTAGATATACAGAGAGGAGGAGAGACAGAGAGGATGATCTTCCATCAGAAGATTCACTCCCCAAGTGACTGCAATGGCTGGATCTGTGCTGATCCAAAGCCAGAAACCAGGAACTTCCTCCAGGTCTCCCAAGTGGGTACAGGGTCCCAAGGCTTTGGGCCGTCCTCGACTTCTTTCCCAAGCCACAAGCAGGGAGCTGAATGGGAAGTGGAGCTGCCGGGATTAGAACCGGTGCCCATATGGGATCCCGGTGCTCCCAAGGTGAGGACTTTAGCTGCTAGGCCACCGTGCCAGGACCTTGCTAGAAGCATTTAATGTGTACCTGCACACACAACATGAAAAAAAACCAAAGTTTGTCTTTGTATTTAATAACTACAGACTTCTACTACCAAGTTCTATTCTGCCATGAGACACAGTGGGGACATACTTAGATTTTTTTTTAAAGATTTATTTATTTTTATTGGAAAGTCAGATTTACAGAGAGAAGGAGAGATGGAGAGAGAGATCTTCCATCTGCTGGTTCACTCCTCAAGTGGCTGCAACAGCCAGAAATGAGCCTATCTGTAGCCAGGAGCCAAGGATTTCTTTCAGATCTCCCACACAGATTCGGGTTTCCAAGGCTTTGGGCCATCTTCGACTTCTTTTCCACGTCACCAGCAAGGAGCTGGAAGGGAAGTGGAGCAGCCAGGATATGAACTGGATCCCACAGCATGCATGGCAAGGACTTTAGCTACTAAACTACTGTGCTGGGCCCCATACCTAGGATATTTATCATGACAAGAATATTTTGCACTTTAGCTGTCTGTTCCGATCTTGTGATTACTTTATTATTTGGAGTTTTGTGTTTTCTTAGCTCAGAGTCTTAAGAATTTTTTATATACTTTTACATAGCATAGCTACAAGTACTTTATTAGATACATAATTTTATAGTTTTACTGCTTTTTCTTTTCATTTATTCAGCAGATCAATTGTTGAGACTCTGATGTGTGACATATTTATGTCAGTTTAAAAAGTAAAATGTGATCTGAGGATTGTAGGAGAGTTTTTAATCCCAAACTTTCAGGGATCTAACTTGATAATTTGCTACTAAATTTTATTTTCCACCATCCCCTATACTGTGAATGCCATGTTACACAGCAGAATGAAGGACTTGTGACTGTTGCTGAAGAACTATGCTAATATAATAATATGGGGAAAACTGGTGTGTGTGTAAGGGGCAGGAGAATAGAATGAAGGAAAGGGAGGAATAACTCTTATGCCTACAAAACTGTATCATACAAAACAATAAAAGCAATGAAAACTTCTGCAACCAAAGTTTATGTGTCACGTGGTTTATCAGAAAGCTTATGTGAGACTTATTGAACATGCCTGTGACTAGGGTTTTACTCTTGCTTTTTGTTTTGTTTTTAAGCAAAATTCATTACAATTCAATGACTCTTCAGAACGTTTGGATTTCTACACTTCTCTTCCAAGGCGGAGTTAGAGAAGGTGTGGGACATGTTGCATTCTCTGGTTCACTGCCCCAAACGGCCGCAGCAGCCAGGGCTGGAGCCATTCTTCAGGTTTTCCATCATGGACTCATGGCACCTGGTGCTGTTTTCCCAGAAACATTAACACAAAACTGGGATCAGAAGTGAAGCAGTGGGAATTTGAACTGTTTTCCTTAATGGATGCTGGCATCCCAGGCAGTGGCTCATCCAGTACATCACAACACATACTTTTACTAGTTTGGCACATGCCTTCTACTCTAAATTAAGAGAGTGAGCCGAAGAATGCTTTTTTATAATTATGTCATTATACTGAAGTTCTAATCTTCAGATTTTCTTAATTGTGATTAAATTAATGAGATTATTTTCTCAGTATCATCCTTTCCTATACAATGAAAAATTAAATTTCATAAAAACAAATATGATTGTTAGCATGTATTTTCTAGTAGAAGTTAGAATTGAAGCGTGTTAAATTATCTGATTAGACTTTCTGAAAGATAGCAATATTGGTTGTGTAAAGAGTTTCAATATCTATATAGTTATGGAACACGGTATAATGCCAATGTTTTATACATATTAGCATTCTCACTAAACAGCATAGAGTTGACTGGGCATGTTCATTTTATAAGTTAAAAATGAACCTGATATGAGATCTCATATGTGAATATTTATTATAATAAAACTGAGACCTTCAAACAATTGTAAAACAGCTTTAGATTAACCAATATTAGGAGTTTCCATAAAGCAAATGAACATTTAAGTTTATCCTTATAAACTGAAAATTGTATTCTTCTTTCTTTCTCCCATAAGGAAATCTATATAAGCACGTGATAGTATTGTCGATTTCACAAGGAAAAATGTAATTTGGGTTAGCTTTGCATTTGTGCAAATAAAGTGTGAACTGCAATTTATCTACAAAACATAGACAAAAACAATGTTGTATCCTCTGTTTTGCCAGGAAGATGCTCTATCACAATGTTTCATCGTAGATTAGAGGGTTATAAACCATCTGTCATGTGGAGATAAAAACTTTCTTGTGTTAAAGATTAGTTTGGTATTAATAAGAGAATGCCCAGCAAATACCATGTGATATGTGCAGTAAGTTGTTCCTGAAGTGTTCATCATAATTTAAATCATTTTAAAAGCAAAGGATATTTGAAGATTTACCAATGATTCCTCTTGTAATAGCCCATCAGATTGTCTGATTCGTTGTTGTTGTTCCCAAACAGTAGGTTTCCATGTGTCTTCTCACAGGAGACCAATCTTGTTACAATGAGTCACAGTGGATAAAGGCCAGAGATTGCCCCGGCCGGCAGGGTCTTCAACGGGGACCTGGGGAGAGAACCGACGATTGGGGGGGACAGGAGACACGAAGAATGGGAGCAAGACAGGAGGTCTGATCAAGCTCCAAAAACTTTATTTTCTTAGGCAGTATTTAAGCAGCAGGTAAAGGCTGGGGCGGGAGGAGGCGGAGTTTTACAGCAGGATGTGGGCCAAATAGGGCAGAGGTCACAATGACACCCATTATCTTGGGTGAACAATTACAGGTGAAAGGTTACGAGGAAACTAGGTGAAGGATAACAAAGTGAGGAAATAACAAAATGGAGTCACTCCTGCTGCTTGGCAGTTCTCTGGTCCCTGGCAAGAAATGGGAAGGAAAGATGAGAACTTTTTTTTTTAAATCTCATCTCTAGTCTTAATCTGTGTGATTAGTATTTGACCCATTGCATTTATCTTCTTCCTACAGCTCTTCATTTCTGATTTCCCCTTCCTCCTCCTTCAGCCTTTCTTTTTCCTTCTTCTTCTTCTTTGTACCTATTAGGTCAAAATGGGAGGAGGAAGAAGCAGTAAATTTTGATGCTAATAGGGTTTGTATCTTTTGATGGAAAATGGAACATGAGACTGGTTCATTGTGGACTCAGACCAAATCAGCAGACCCTTGACTTTATGGATGAGAGTTCTCTAACCCACCAGTTAATGTTCCTGTGAAAACGAAAAAAATTTACAAAATATATATCAACAGAATTATCCTGATGACCAGTAGGGCTATAACCAAAGAAGACACGGTCTGCCTTCGTGGTTTTTAATCTCTCATGATATTTGTTTCTAGGGCAGGAGCGGTTTGGCAACATGACCCGAGTATACTACAAGGAAGCTGTGGGTGCATTTGTAGTCTTTGATATATCAAGAAGTTCCACATTTGAGGCAGTCTTAAAGTGGAAAAATGATCTGGATAGCAAAGTTCACCTTCCCAATGGCAACCCTATCCCCGCTGTGCTCCTAGCTAACAAATGTGACCAGAAAAGGGATGGTGGTCAGAATCCCTCCCAGATGGACCAATTCTGCAAAGAACATGGCTTCACTGGATGGTTTGAAACCTCTGCAAAGGTAAGATTTGCTTTCCTTGTGAATCTGCTCTTTTGTTTTGCTACCAAGAGTTTAGGTAGCAGTGGTTTCTGGAAGCCTAGGAAATGAAAGCATAGCATGAATTTAGCATAGTTTCTCTCAACCTGCGGCAGAACTGCATTTTACACGAGGGCTAATGAGGGGGGGTGGGTGCACACAGGGCAGATTCTACATTAAAATAAAACTGAGTTACTAACTTTTGACTAACTGAGTTAGTCAAAGCGAAGAGCAAATGAAACTTCATTTGTGTTTAGTCCGTTGAGGTACCTCAGTTAGGTGTATAGATTTCAAGTGTATTATCCAGCTCAAGGATTTTAAATTTTTACAAAAGACTTGACAGAGCATAGGGAAATGTCACTAACAAAGAAGTTTATGACATGCAGACCTAATAAAGGCATTGAAGCAATCAGAGAGAAGATCGATTTACGTGTTGTTTAGATTAAGAAAATCATGAAAGATTTGAGTATAAGCAAAATGTCAAAATTTGTGACATGCTTCTTCATAAATATTGAAAAATCCAATTTGTGAAGCCGGTTAACATTTTTTTTTTTCTTTTAAGGGTAAAAAATCCACTAAGATAGTTTTCAAAATTCTTAGTTTGGCTGTTTCAGAAAGAAAAGCTTAAAGTGGGTACCCATATAAGCAGCAGATGTTGAGGTTTATGCACCGTAAGTTTCATAAAAAAGGGTTAATTACCCCAGATATAGATAACCATGCGGAAATATTTGGTGCCAATTAAGGAGTAAGCTATACATGCGGTGTAATGAAAATTCAGTATCAGGTTTCAGTATGCATTTTGTGGATTTCCTTTGTATTTCGTTCATAGGCATGCATGTATGTATTACTGTTCTTAATCACCTATCTTACTCCAGAGACTTACTGTAAGTGTTTTTAGAAGTGATAGTTTGATGGCCATGGCGATGAGGATGCTCTAAGGCAGCACTGATGCATTGCACATGAGTAGGCTGAAGTTACTGGGTGGTGATAGAGTCATTGAAAACAGATGTGTCCTGAAGGAAGGATCATGTACTCCTCGATAGTAACTGCCTGTCTCAATACATTGCATCTTAAAATTTAGTGCCGTAAATTTTAAAACGGTGCTGGAATAAAGATGAGGTTCTGAGATGCCACGTGAACTCTTAGCAAGGCAAGGACAAAATCGCAAAAGGAGAAGCTTCCTATAGAGCAGGACCATGTTCCTAGCAGCCATGCCCTGTCTGCTCTGTGCTGCTACTATGAGATTTGCTTTACTCTCCAGTTTTGGGGAAAAAATATATATATAATTGCTCATGTGAACAAACAACTTGATACAAAAGTTCTCTGTATCACATATAAAATTCCTGTTTCAGTATTAATTACTCTTACATATAATAAGTCAGTTTCCCACAAAGAATCTATGTAATTTCATAACCACAGATGCAGCTTGCTTCTATCCTGAGCCTGTTGAGTCCTAAGCTTGTTTTTTTTTATAGAAAAGATCACCTGTGGAATTGAGAAGGAAATAGCAATAGCTGAAATTTCAGATCTGCTTTATGCTTCCCTAAAACATTTTAGAAATGGCTGCTGCAGGATTTCCTTCGTGATAAGTAATAGTCCCAGAAATTCCAATAGTAATAAAATTTATATATATTTTTTAGCTTGAGCTTCAAGTACTTACCTAAGATTACTAATAGCTCATTTCTTAGCTGACAATATCTAACTTCATCAGATTTCTACTTCAGTTCTAGTGGTTTGGGTTCCTGAATGAATGTAGCTAAAAGAAAATTTTGAGCTCATAAATTTCAACATTTCACCTTTACACAAACACAAGGGTATTTCAGAAAGGTTTTTGGAAGGCAGAATCAACTGATAAGTTCATTTTTGGTGAAAAAAAGCGCCCACATTTGAAGTCCATGCATTGATTTTTCCTAATATTCATTTTCTGTGAATTCTGATTGTCCTGTGACTGGATGTCTAATATGAGTTTTTTTTTTTTTTTTTACTAATTTCACTGTAGTGTGAGAATTTCTTTTTCTAATACATTGAAATTATACAGTTATGAAATTTTATAATTATTTCATACAATACAGATGATAGGACTGAATGAACTCGGCCATTCAAGGATCAATGCTTGAATTAACATCAATGTTGATCTTGAAAATGGAGGCCAAAAAACATTTATTGATGGAATGAAGGACACCCAAATAAATGGTATAATTATTCTAGATTCCTCACTGCCTGAAATAGGAATAATAAATAAGAGAAAATTCAGTGAAACCCATGATCTGAAATTATTCTATGGTGGAGATATTATTTTATGGTGGAGATATCAATATGAACTCCAAGTTTCATATATATACATGCATATGAATATATATAGTTGGCATATAGATAGATACACAAATAGATATGCACACATACATATTCATGTGTAAGTATACACAGTCAGCTGAAGGGGATACAGATATTAGATGCACAAATGCAAACTGTAACCAGCTGGTATCTGCTGAAACAATTTACAAGCAATGACACTCTCTAACAAATGAATGGTCCCCAGAAGTCTATTTTGAAATATTTGTTCATCAGTCAAAAGAATTCTGAAACTCTAGAGCAATGGCTGATCCAGGGCAGATAGGAAAGATAGCAGAGATGTGTCTAAGGATGCTGTGGTGCCAGAAAACAAGGAAACACTCGCAAAATGATGGAGACACATCTCAAACACTAGGAGCCCATTCATGAGAGCTCCAAAAATCCATGGCAATGTGAGCAGCAAAGGAAGCAATTATTACAATCAACTCATGAAATTAAATAATAACCCATGTTACATGCAAGTGAAAAACAAACAGAAAAGGGAATCCTAACCATAGAATTCCAACTAAAATAGATTTAAAAAATGAAATGAGAAGTCGTATTAAATGCTAAGGAATAGTTATCCTAGAAAGAATTAATAGATTAAAATCAGTGGGAAAGCATATGATGAATTACAGAATATTTATACTTGAAATTAGTACAAATGGGTGATATTTCAGCTGAGAAACCTGACAGATGAGACTTTCAGTAACCATACCTCCCTATACACCAAGAATGACAGGGGGCACATCTGTTTGGTTTTTTTCCCATAAAAATCCATAGCTAGAAGTTATGATCAAGATTTTAAAAAGTCTCTGGTTCATACTCTGTATCAGGGCCAACAGCTGTCCATTTGCTTTTTTTTAAATGTATTTGTCCTTCTAAAATTAATTAAAAATGAAAATTAAATTATTTCCGTTTTTCCTATGTGTTACTTACACCTATCTAATCATGGCTTATAAATTTTGTGATTTGGGAGGGCATCATTAATGCACATCATGGGGGCATCATAGCTCTAGGCTAATTTATGCAAGATCACTAAATGCAAGTAATTATTTACTCAAAGCGAGACTCACAATATGGCACATTTCTCATATATTATACATGCTGTTAGCCTTTTCAAACTTCCCATCACAGTGCATCCTACATACTTAGAGGAAACAGGAGTTTTTCAGTGCCATTGCTGTAAGTGGCAACAACCCACAGCAGAGTGAAAATCCAGTTTCAGCTTTAAAGACATCTCATGGAATCTCAGAGGCAAAAAACTGAAAAATAGGAACACTAGAAAGGGTATTTTTGGAAAAGGAGAGGGTTTTTCAGTTGCCACTTTAGCCAGTAGCATTGAACTCCGAGCAGACAAACACTTCACTATCACAGAAGAGCGTGGTATCTGCTATCCTTGTATTGAGCCCTCTGGCAGATTAGGGTCATTGCCAATGGTTCTGTTAATGCTTTCCTTCAAGAACTAATCCCAGCACTGACCCATTCTTTACTTTGCATTACAGGACAACATAAACATAGATGAAGCCTCCCGATTCCTAGTGGAGAATATTCTTGCAAACCACCAAAGCTTCCCTAATGAAGAACATGATGTGAGCAAAATTAAACTGGATCAGGAGACCTTGAGAGCAGAGAGCAAATCTCACTGTTGCTGACACAGTCTGTTTCTCTGGTGCCTGCCTGGCTTGAGTGAGTTCCAGAAAATGGAACATGGAAGATGCACAGGACGCGGCCTCTTCCCACAAGTGCCCCCTCTACAGCGTCACCATTTCCCTATGTGAGCATGGCATCTGTGGGGAAGTGTCCTGGAGGCTCTGCAACCTGCAAAAAGTGACTCGGGCTGCTAGATGCTGTTGCCATCAGATTGAGGACAACGTTTACAACTTTCACACAGCCTCTGTGGGGTCATTCCTGGGGCTACAGTGGAATTCCAAGTAGATTCTAGGGTGAATGTTGTGGTGGTAACAAATTTTTACCTGCAGTGTTATGGGCATTCTGAGTCTGTATTTATGCCTGTTTTCCCCTGCTCACTTCACAGTGAGGTTTTTAGACTATGTCAGCCACAAAGCCTGGGTGTTTCCTTTTAGTTCTTCTATTCAGAAGATTTATGCTTCATGTAAAATTGTTATGGTTAAATACTAAAATCCCAGCGCAGTCAAGGCTGGCTTGGCATGTGGTCACTCCCCTTAAACACACCACAGCACCCTTCCCAATTACTCAGTTAGGGGTAGCACCTTGGATCCTGTCGCTAACACTTGGAAACATTAAGCAACCTTTGGCATTTCCTCTTCTCTCCTTCCTGGGCTCAGGTTTGTAGCTGAGGGCTTCATTGACATTTGCTGCCCCAGTTCTCTCTCAAATCTGTAATCATCTTGGTGAAGACATGAATGTTTTCAAAGCACTTACACATAAACCCAGCTTACACTTTATGGGCTGTGAAAGGAACTACATCATCTATGCTGCTCAGACTCTTGAAATATTACCCCTACGAAGCTGCAGGTGAATGCGTAGTATCTGTGCTATCGCCTCAGTGCAGGAAAGGATGCATATTTTGACTGAAGCCTTCATTTTGAATTAATGTAATTCTAGAAAGACAACGTGTGGTATACCTTTTTGTGTCAGAAAATTTTGTGTTTGCATATCACTTTTGTCATTTATGAGACTTGATTTTCTGTGCAAGGTTCTATTTCCCTCAATGGGACACTAAGGGGGTTTACGACATAACCCAAAGCTAAGGAAGCATCAAATATTTACACCAAACATATCCATGAAGTGCATTTGGATTTTAAAGATCTTTGAAGTTAGAGCAGAAAAAAGCGCCAGCATAAAAATGTGTTCGTTTGGAAAACTGTGTTGTGAGAATAAACATACTGTCATGCACTCTAAAACATAACGGTCTTCTCATCAGAGTTGTTGCTTGACCTGACGTCATCGACAAGATTAGGATCCATTTCTGAATAAATGCTGACATTTCGGACCATGTATGAGGGTATTTCTAAAAGTCTATAAAAATAATATTTAATAATGAGCTTATTTTTGGGTAGAAATTATATTCATGAAGGCAATCGGATTTTCAAAAAATATTAATGAACGTGACCATTACGATGAATTTTCCATTTTGTACCAAAATAAATTTATCTGCAAATTCCATGTCTTGTGGAGTTTTTAAATATCCTTGTTTTCTACATGAACTACAATTTCATGAGTTAAGTGATGATTAATATTTAATTAGATTAACATTTAATAAGATTTAGTAAGATAGTGTCTTTCAATTTTTTATAAAACAATTTTTTATATAATAATTAGCTTTCTCTTTCTACAAGATTTGTGCTTGTCTAAATTTAGGGTTTTTTTTTTTTTACTACAGGTATAAAGTACAACCTTTTTATCTTTTATTGTATTTCGAAGTCTACTGGTGTAAATATTGTGAAATGTTGATGCCAAACTCAAAACAGTGGAAGTACAAAGTTTATCCTGCGTAATCCTTGGAAGAAGTTGACGTCTACTTGGAATTTGATTTTCTATATATTGATTTTAAGCAAGGGATGCATTATATTTTAATGGATTTAGCTAAGCATTCCAAATCAGTAGCCTTGTACTTTCTTTGTACAAACTTATCTGTTATATTCTCTTGGTGTAACTTTAGGGACAAAAATACCTTAAATAGTTATTTTCTGTAAACATTCAGAATTCTGTTGTTGCTGTGAGATTTTCAATATATTTAGCATTCTCTACTGTTTAGAAATAAACCTGAAATTGTACATCACTTTTAAATTCTCGCCACAGTTTATTACTGTAAATTGAGCGTAAAATTTGGACTTAAGGTAAGATACATCAATAATCAGAGAACACAGAAAATACTTTGTACACTTTGAAGGAAACACAAAATCTGCGCACACACCACTAGCTATGATACCCAAATTAGAGGCTCTAGCATCAACTAAAAAGATAAGAGTCACCTCTTTCTGTGAGTCTCAGGAATTACAAAACTGTGCTATCTCTGCCCTCGATGACACTCGTGTATGTCAAACATTCAGTAATGTTTGTAAAACTAACTCATTTCAAGGACTATTTCAAGGTGTGGTTCACTTCCAAACTATCGTGAATGAAGCTGAGCTGCTCAATGAAATTTCTGTGTCTTATTTCAAGTTTATTTAGTTTGTGGAGATTAAGCTCAAAAATCTGTGCTTCCATGAAATCTCAAATTGTTCCATTTGAAGTCCTCCTATAGTAACCTGCAATGAAGAGTAATGAGCTTGGACTTACGGTATTGCTCAAAACACGATCACGTGATATGTAACAGTTGCAAACCTTTATGAATCGTTATGATGAAAAAAGTCTGAACACCTCAAAGAGTGAACAGCAGCAACAGTGGCAGTTATGCACTGAACAAAACAGAAGTCTAGGACTCTAACAGGGTGAACTAATCTGCAACTCTCGTTGCTACAGCTGGGCAGCCGTTTAGAAAAACAAGAAGTTGTATTTCTACCTTACAGCTTCCCCAAATGAAACAAACTGGGTATTGCTCTAAGTGTAAAATGAATAAAACTACAAAGATTGTAGCAGAGATGGAAAAAATGCTGATTTTAGCTAAGAAATATTTTATACTATCAAATGCTGAAAATTAATGAGACGACATCAAAATGCCTCCGATAGTGAGAGAATTTTGTCCCCAACTTACAGTAATTTAACTTAGGATTTTTCAACTTTGTTGTGCTGCAAAAGCAATACACATTCGAAAGAAATCATACTTGGAATTTTCTATCATTTCTGTCATTTCCTGGGCTATTGGCAATGGTAACAGCCAGTCAGCTATGCAATCAAAAAGCTGAATTTTGCATTCAGTGCAACATGTGGCTGAGTTACAAGATTTGGTACATCAGGTGATTTCAACAAACTTTGAACTTAGTATTTTCAATGTCTGGCAGATATATTGGGATGTAACACCATTTTCAGTAGACAATCATTTGTATAAACAAATTGAAAAAAGTAGTTGCAGCTCATTTAATTAGATGAGGATTAATGAACTCAACAAGAAAGGGACCTTAAAAGTCTAAAAGTGAAATCATTGACAGCACTCGTCACAAGACAGTAAGATAAGAACTTACAGGAAGCCACAATAAAAGCAAAGTTCACTTGGCTCACGGAAGGAGAAAGTAAAAGTCAAGCCTAGAGAATATCTGAAAAGTAACTATGATGAAGATAGCATACGTGAAAGCCTCTAAGCTATGTACAACATATTGCCCAAAGAAAATGCTGAAGGCTAAGTAATTTAAAAAATAAATGGATGAACCTTCCCTTTACAATAAATGTGCTTATCAACCTTACATAAATTGGATATATTCTACAACGTAAGCAGCAGTATGATGAATTCATCACTGAAATCATCATGATAAAAAAAAAAACTTAAATATTCTTAACTCTGTGATCAGAAAGAAAGGGCTGCTGACTTTGACCACTTCTTTTCTAATCCTCCAGACTTGCCCGTGAAAGCTTAGGATGGAAAGGGTTAACCTTGAACAATGGCAAGTATGGAATAAATCATGAAGACTTGAAGCTGTGAACAAGAAGGGGTTGGATCTCAGCCCATCCCCCAACCCTTAGAGAGGCAAACTCCATCCCAATCCCTTTCTTCTATTGGGAATACCAAGTCTCCTACTGAAAGAAGTGAGAAAATCTTGGATCCTGGTGCCCCTTCCTTGCCCTCAAAACCAATACCCATCCTAACCCCTGACTGCTGCTTTTATGTCCTTGGTATTTACTTTCAATTATCATTCTGAAGTGTTAAAAAGCATTCTCTTCCAGGTGGCAGGGTTCTCTTCGCTGTAACTCAGCAGCCCTGCACTCTGTCACATGCTGTGTGAGGTGCAGCCATTTGAAGGCAGGCAAAATTTGCAAAATTCAAGTTTGGAAATGATACCACAGGTTTCTCTATTCAATCATTGTAAGTGTTGAGAAGTTCCAAGAACAACAGAGATTTAGAAAGAGAGCTTATTTTGAGTTAGAGGGTACCTGCCAGCCCCAAACGCAACATAGTACACATCCTGAAACCGTTGCAGGCTGGTTAGGACTGCGCCAAGATGTGGGGAAAGAACACAGCTACTGTCTTCCCTATGTAACGTCACTTACATCTGTGTATCTATGACTGAGGAATTACAAACACTATGCTGATTACTCAAGAGCAGTGTTCCTGTTGATTGCAAATGAAAGGATAAGTTTATATGTACAAATGCTTCAGATGAGAAGTAATCAGCATTGAGTTCAGCTTTTACTTGTGTATGCGTGTACGGGGGCAGGGAGGCCGGCTAGCTTTGGTTACCTAATTCAGCAAGCGTATAGGAAAGGGTGCATTCGGTATATGTGAAGCGAGAGGCTTCTTTTGAAATACTCCTGCAGTATTCAACTTCCTCGCTGGTTCAGGCTTTAGACAAAGTCATGGGTTGCAAAGGAACGTTCCCACATGACTCTGCAGGAATCTTCAGTCCTGTGCATTTCCACAAGGAAGCTGTAAAAGCATGCCTAGCATGCATATAGGCACTGGTTCTAATCCTGGCATCCCTGCTTCCCATCCAGCTTCCCGCTTGTGGCCTGGGAAAGCAGTCGAGGAAGGCCCAAAGCCTTGGGACCCTGCATCTGTGCAGGAGACCTGAAGAGGATCTGGGCTCCTGGTTTCAGATTGGCGCAGCACTGGCTGTTGCATCACTCGGGGAATGAATCATTGGGCAGAAGATCTTTCTCTCTGTCTCTCCTCCTCTCTGTATATATCTGACTTTGCAATAAAAATAAATGAATCTTTTTTAAAAATTCAAAGGTATGCCTACAGACTGCTAATTTGCTATCTCTCACAATTATCTAATCTAATTGGGGTCATTTCTTCTTAATCAGCGAGATTCAAAACATGGTTAAGGGGCAGGAATCGGGGACAGCATTTTAGGCTGTACTTGAGACACTTCATCACATATTGGAGTGTCCTATTTGTATTTCTGGTTCCATTCTTACTAAGGGCCCCTCCCCTGCTGGGGGAGTTGTGCGGCAGTGATGGCACAAGTACTTGTGCCATCTGTCACACATGTGTCAGGCCTGGAATGAGGTCTCGGTTTGCTTCTTCAACCTGGTCCAAATCTGGTTGTTTGGCCATACGGGGACTGAACTGGTGGATGAAAACTTTCTCTCTCTCTCTCTCTCTCTCAGTTGCTTTACCTATTAAATAAATACATTCTTCTAAAAAGTAAATAATGACTTATGTTCACAAGATATTTGAATTTTACTTCTCTACTTTCTATTTTTAATTGATTGAAGTTAACAATTGTTAGTGACTAAAAACATCATAAAATCCCAGGTACCTCCAGTCAGGAAAAGTCGATCCAGAGCTTGAACTGTTAAAAGTCTGTGAAGAAGTAATTTTGATAACATTGCTGACATCTTAAATGCAATTTGCTTTTTTTTTTTTTGCTCCTGTTTTAGGTACTTTTAATTTTTCTTTATTCGGTTCTGTTCCTCTTTTTTGTGAAGGTTTTATTAAATCTTAATCACAAAAGAAATGCCAGCAGTCATGGTTTAAATACTGATTTTGCACATCTTTCCTTATAAAGCTTACTTTTTCCAACTTGAAGTACATTCGCCAAGATCTAGAGATGGAAATGTTTGGTCACTGACCCTCTCATGATAATAGTCGACATTTCTATAAAGATGTCCTCCAGTCAGTGTCATTGACTATTTTTATTCTCATTCAAACTTAAAACATTAGCTACAGCTCACATATGAGTAAGCAGTTTCACACAGTTCATGAACTTGTCTGTGCCATATGGGCCAGTGTTTTATAGAGTTGGGGCATGGATCCAGATATTCCTGAATCCAAAGAAATAACTACTGTGTTCTGCATCTCTGTCTCATCCTGCATAGGACAAATAGGTAATGGAAACATGATTTAAATTGTGTCAAGGGAAACAACTCATTTTGCCTTTCTGCTAGCGCTGTGCTAAGTAATGAAATTCAGAACACAACAACAAATTCCCTACTTAGAGGGCACATTGATGTTGTCATGCATTTTATGGAATATTGTGCAAGCTAAGGGGTGGCAGAAGGTGTGGCAAGCAACCAGCAGTACTGTCTGGTTTGGGTTAAATTGCTGTGTTGGTTAATGTTATGCCTCTAATTTCAGCCTGTTAAAGTGTTGTGAAACAGAAAGTACCATAGACTCAGAGCACTGTTGGGAAACTGGCATCCAGAAGGTTCTGGACCTCTTGTTAATGAGCACAGATTCTGAGCTGGCTGTCTGCACCTATACCTCAGGCATTGCTGCATCCCACCTGAAAATCCCAGCTTATGAATGAAGGAATAAAGAAAAGTTATGCAGATATTGTAATTTTACAGTGAAAGCACATGTGAATAATATTTCTTAATAATGTGCCTGGAGGGAGAAAGAAGCATCTTATAGACAATGAACTGTTTCTCCAAATGCATGATTGTGGTTTTGTGACACTGCAAAGCACTATAACATTAAGATTATAGCATCAAATTCTAAAGTAGTGGTGCTAGAATTAGCTTGCGTCACAGATAAGTGGACATTACCAGGGCTTGCTTGACTGTTGGGTACTTGGTATCTTGATTTCCTCATTATAATTACAACAGTTTTATTTCCTCAGGAAATGATTTTCACCATTGCATGCTGCAACACGTAACTAGCATGTATTATAAGGCTTTTCATGTTCAAACAATGTCATTTTACAATGCTGACTTAGGTTTTCATCATGCAGTAGACTTATTGAACACTGAATAGTAGCACAAACTGATTTGAGCAGTGATTACCTGTTTTTTCACACTTCAAAAGCAAATAAAACAAAACTAATAAAGAACAAAACAAACAAAAAACATTGAGAGACAGAGGGGTCTCATGAATAGAATCACTTTCCAAATGTCTAAACAGAAAATATTGGGCAGAGGTGAACTTGAGAATCAGCTGCATCCAAGGTCTCACTCATGGGTATGTACTTGACTTGAACTTAATGTAAAACACAGATCCACAGACTGAAAACGCCTTCATGAATTTTCACATAGCACTTCCAGCTCAAAATATAAGATCTTTCCAGCTCATTTGAACAGTTTTCAAAAGCATTTTTTGTTACTGGCTCACAGCAAATATTTTAGGTTTTTGTAGGTACTTTAGTTTACTTTGCAACTATTCAACCCCGACATTATAGAACAAAACTATCACAGACATTTCGTGAACATACGAATTAACTGAACTTCAGTAAACATTTATTTAACTGGCATTTGCTGGATTGTAATATGCAAAGCACTCCCCTAGAATTCTCCAAGGCAGAGATTTTTTTATTTAAACTTCTTAGCCTCTCAGGCCGGCATTTTTTTATACTTTTATTAACATTAATTATGCAATTTGAAAAGTATCACCTCACTGGGATCCATAATGTGAATGTTCCTATTATCCCCAAGTATTGTCTTTCATCTCTTTGAACTATACACATCCTTGACTTTATAAAAACAACCATAGACTGCTTTCTTTTATTGTGTTGTCATAGTCTCAACATTTTGGGAATTAATTCATTAATATAAAGGTTTGATGTACTATGACTTCATATAAATAAGCCCACCACTCTCAGACTTGGTGTCTTTTAAACTTGGCACAAGATTTCTGAGTTTCTATGGCTGTGTTGTGTATCATTGCCTATATACAACATAGTTTATCCATTAATCTGTTGTTTGACATATGGGTTATTGAATCATGACCTCAGGAGTACCAGGTGCTCTACAGCTTCAGTAATACTTGGTACAGTCAAACATAGGGATTTTAGTTTTTTAGGTGGGAAGTGTCATTTTACAGTTTATATTTGCATCTCCCTAATGAGTAATGGTGTCTTCCTAATGATTATTTAGTCATATTTATCTTTTGATAGTGGGTCAGTTCCAATCTTTTGCTTTCTTTAATAATGTGTTATGTTACTTCATTTCTTGTAATGTATGCTGTATACAATCAGGATTTTGAAAAAAAAATTGACTTATGTTTTACCTCCAAGCCAATTCTTAAACTTTTTGTTTAACAATAAAATTGAACTTGTTGATTTGTCATTGGTTCATTGAAATTGGTTGATTATAAAGCTGACTTACTTTTAATGACTATTTTTATCTTTTTATTTCAAAGTCAAAATTGGATAAAGTGAGGGAGACATGAAGAGAGAGAATCTTCCATCTGCTGCTTCACTCTCTAGGTGGCCACAAGTCCAGGTCTTGAATAGGCAGAAGCCAGGAGCCAAGGGCTTCATCCCATATCCCACATGGTAGCAGGGACCCTAACACTTATGAAATCCTTTGCTATTTTCCTAGGTCATTAGTAGTTACCTGGATCAGAGCTGAAGCGGCCAGGATTCAGATTCCCACATGGAATGCTGGGTTCATGAGGCAGGGAGTAGGGAAGAGCGAGACTTACACTTGCTACACAAGAGTACTTCAAAATCCACTTTCTGATACAAGAATTTTCAGATAGAATTGATTCTTGGGATCTGAAAAATTCAATTGACATTTCCAACCATGAGGGTCTCTTCAAAAATTCCCTAACATTTACACTTCTGATTATTGCATGGTTTATGAGAAATCTTACATGTGTAAGCAGTTGAGCATGACTTAGTGTGACTGGCAAAAAGGAGTAATTGGAACTTCCAGATGACTCACTAAAGCAACAACAACTAAGAGTAATGATGATGAGGATGATGTTTAAGTTTATATTTCTGTACATTTTTTAAAGATTTGTTTATTTGTATTGGAAAGGCAGATTTGCAGAGAGCAAAGACAGAAACATCTTCCATCTGCTGGTTCACTCCCTAAACGGCCCCAACGGACTGAGCAGATCTGGGGTCAGGAGTGTCTTCTAGATCACCCAGATGGGTGCAAGATCCCAAAGACTTGGATCATCCCCTGATGCTTTTCCCAGGCCATAAGCAGGAAGCTGGATGGGAAATGGGGCAGGTGGTACATGAACTGGCACCCATATGGGATGTTGGTGCTTAATGGTGGAGGATTAGCCTTTTGAGCCACAAACATTTTGTAACTTGAGATTATACTCTGATTTCTACATTAGAAGAACTGTCGAGAGAAATATTTTCATATAACTATGTATTATCCTTAAATCATAATATCCTCATCTCTTAACCAGTCATTTGAAGGTTTGAAGGGATGAGATACAGAAGTCAAAACCACTGGGATTGTGGTCATGGCACAGAGGTTAAGCCACTGCCTGTGACGTCAATATATGAA